CCTGCTCTGGAGACACATAATCACTATCAGCCAGTGTAGAGTCATCTAAAGTTAATAGAAGTACATTGATTTATGCTGACTGAGGACCTGACCCGAAATCCACCAAATTATGGGTTGGTTGAGTTTGAAAGGGACCTCTGGAGGGCCTCTTGTATCAAATTTGGATAGATCTTTTGATACAGTAATATGAAGACACTTTTTCTTTCCCCCTAGCACAAGACCAGAAAGAATAGCTAATTCAGGGATATGACAGCCATCATGGACCACAACTGAACAGGATGCAAAAAACAGGATCCTTCTTACTCTGTGGTTGCATATTATTTGTTTAATGGCATAGGTAAGCCTGAGGCTTTACAGATCTACCAAAATAAAGATAAAGCCAACAGCTTAGTGTAACAGACAAATTCTACATGTGAAAAGAGTAATCAGATCTCATGTGGATGAACCAGAAGAAAAGGATAGACAAGCAAAAAGAAAAGAAGCTCAAGCAACTTGCTTTTCCTTCAAGAGGGATACAAAGAATTTGTTTTATCAACATTCATGCTACTTTTTTGTTCTTTTATCACTTCATTATTGTTTGCTGTTAATCCATTATTACTTTTTCCACTGTAGCAACAAAGTTCCTGATGAGAAAACAGTGATGTTTTCTCACAGCTATTGTAATGGGTGTAGATTTTTGAATTTAAAAAAGTCATCCTCCTCCAACTGGTATGCATATAGATTTAAGGATTTGGTCTGAATCAACTACTAGTTTCCACTTGTGATAGCCACATGAATCCTGACAGAACACTGACTCCAGCAGCCTAGCAAATTTTGACTAGGCAGTACTTACCTTTGCCTTAGGGCTCACTGATCCACATTTTTAGCAAATATTTTGACATACAACTTCTGAATTACTTGAATTATGTATCAGGTAATGTTTCTCTTCACGTTGTTCCACCTTAACATTCTGCTCCTACATTTTTAAAACTGCACTTTCATGATTCTCAAGTACTTATTGAAAAACAAATTTATAATGCAGAAACTAAAAACAATCTGAAAACAGATTATGTATCGTTATCCCACCTGGCAGAATGCAACAAACATCATAATCCTATCTCACTTGCAACACAGTAATGGAGTTAAAAATGGTTCTAGTGCTCTTAAAAGGAAACTTCCATTCACGAGACAACACAGTTGTGAGAAAAAGGTATCATTTACTGCAGCACAGCCCTCCTAAAACACTGGCTGAGGTTTCCATGGTTAACCTAAATTAAAATTAATTCCATATTTTTTGGCAGAATGTCTATAAACTAATTTTCATATTTTCTTCTTCAACTATAATTAAAAATGTAGGGAAAAGGCTTCATATGTCTCAAGTATGAAGGTATATTACAGTAGACATTTCTGGTTTTAAATTGCTACAATGCTTACTTTAACTGAGGCAAAATTAAGTGGGAAAGTCGACTGTCATGACTGCCTTCTGTGATTATACAGTTAATACATATACCCCATGCCTACAGGGCAATAGCCTGCATGGTAGATTTGGCTGCATGTTCTAAAAGGATGTGAACCTTAATAAAGATTTGATCTGCAGTCACCATACATTTCTGTTGCAAGAATTATTAATCAGCAATTCAGAAAAAAGAGAAGATAGCAAGAGAAGGTAAAAGACTTTTTACAGCAACATTTTAAAGATATTAATAGTAAAGATGCGAAATGTATAATATCAAAGAGAAACATAATTGAATAAAATGAAGAGCAGTTTGGCTTGCAAGATCTACTTTGTCTGTGTAATCAGTGAGTGGACAGATTCAATGTGAAAGAAGTGCACAAATGGTCCAGATCTCTGAATGTGAAGACAGGACAAGAGATGCATCCAAAAGAATCCTCTCAGCATATTAAAACCACTCTGATTCCATAAAGGCCTTCTGATGACTTCCCAGCAAGTAGTCCATAAATGCACAATCCCAGATTAAGGTCATCCTTCTTACAAGCACTCAAAGGCATGACATCACATTACAGACAGCTTTAATAAAAGCTGTTAGAGTTCACTGAATCATCATCTTACTGGCTTCTGTCTATCAAGTACATCCACTGCTTGCAACCCTTCACAATAATCATCTCTAAATTGAATACATACATATTTTACAATTAATTGAAAAAGCAAGAAAATAAACATGAAATATAAACTTTTTCTACACTTAGCTTCTAGAATTAGAAGCACATCCTGAAACTCAGTGACACTTTGTTAACATACAATTGCTACAACTACTATAGGATATGGTGAGTAATCTCCTTTGCAGCATTCTGGGTTAGATAACTCTCACCTCTGGTGGATGAAGTACAAATCTTGATTTTGGAAATGCATATGGAGAGGTGGGGAAGAAAAATGCATGTGTGTTTTCCTAAGGCCTGTTCAAACACAATAGTCTCACCCGCTTTCCCATCCTTCTCACCCTAAGAGACTGACACTCTTAAGCTAAAAAAAAGGCTTTGGGTTGAAATAATAAGCACGTGCCATGTCTGGACTGAAATATATTAGCCTAGGTTTGTGAATAGCACTGACTCCAAAGTAAATTCTATAACCACTTATCAGTATACAACTGGGAAAGGAACTGGTAAAATAAAGTAATGGGATCTATTTTGTGTTTCAAATTCTCCACTAGCAAATAGAAACCCTCCCTTAAAGCAGAGAAGCTTGCTTTGACTAATTTTAAAATATACAAACAGAAGCAACCCTATTAAAAGTCTTAAAACTACATTTATTCAGACAATGTGAGAAGAAAGAATTCTATTACTTGGAAAGCACTTTTCTCACCTCACCTTTCAACCATTATTTGCATACAAGCCAAATCACCTCTGAATAAATTCCACTGGCCTTCCTTACATACCATCATTATCTATTTTCATGTGGAATAGTTAGTGTACTATTAGGATAGCCTAACACTTCACGGAGACAGCTGATTGAGAATTAAAGAGGAGACACAGCTTCCACTCTGAAAACTCCAGAGGGGAAAAAGATCCACAAGTTAAACGTGGAAGGACTCAGAAAAAGAGGGCTGCTTATCCTCAGTAAGTGAAAAGCAATGGCTAGAAGAAGGGAGGAACAAAGTGGAAAGTGAGAAACAACAATGATCAAAGATTGTAGGTATGTGAGATGACCATAGAACAAGCACATAGAAGCATATAAGATGAAGCAAGTTCATTTGAACTAGACTCCTGGGCATTAAGCAAGCCAGAAATGGCAACCTGCATAGGTGAGAAACTGTTAATTTTTCTAAAGGGTGGGCTAGGAGTTAAATTTTCTCATCTATCATAGGCTTTCTGGTTAGTGGCAGGGATGTCACTCAGTCTATGTCTCAGTCCCTCATCGATAAAGCTGGATGTTGTACAGAAAAGCCACAAATGATTCAGGGGACTGTCACTTGATAAGGGCAAGATATGAACCTACGGAGACAGTTATACCTCACAGATTCCTGCTGAAGAAAACAAAAAGAGGAGAGGAGAGAGAGGGAGGGAGGGGGGGAGAGAGAAAGAGAGAGAGAGAGAGAAAAAGACTGGCTACAGTGACATGACCTAACTACCTGAATGTTAGAGAGGAACACAAATGCCCATGACAGATGGACATACAACCACAAGAAAGATAAACATCTGAGTACAAAAAGCCTGAAGAAGAAAGAAAATTTTCACCAACTGAGAAGGGTGGTAATACAGATACAGGTATATTCAAATGATAAGGCTGACTATAATTAAAAGCAGAATAAATCTCTGACATTGTTCTCAAAGGAATAATCTCTAATTTCAGGAAGATGTTATTTGGTTACTAGTTACTGCTAGGAATAGTGAATACAGTCTACTAGTATCAAATATACATGAGAAAAGCATGAGAAAGTTATGGACAGGAAGAAATAGGACTTTTCTGTTTGCAGTGGAAGAAAGGAAGGGTTGGGAAACTTCTTTAAGTATAGAGAAAATGGGGAAAAGACCCTTGCCCCACACAACTTCAGCCTAAGAAGCCTAAGAATAGATTCTTACATTCAGGTGTGACTTGTGGGCAGAACAGAGGGCAACTGGTACAAGTAGTTATTAAATAAGATACAGGTAGTCAGAAGAGGAATCTCATGTACCAAAAGAAGCAAGCAAAGGAGACAAGCAGTTTGCAGACTATCTGGTTGCAGAGAGGATCAGAGGGGCAGAGGAGACACACAGCCGATCAGAGATGAAATTTGCCCTGAGGGCACAAACAACCCTCCTGAATACATGTGAGTTTATTTGAGCAGGTTTAAGCACATAAGGGGGCCAGAGGGAAACAGGGGAATGGGTGGCACTGAGGAAGCAAGTGATCACAGTGACAGTATTTCTTCATAAAATGCTGAGCAACTCCTGGAAATCTTTACTATCCTCTCTGGCCATTACCCCCCATTATTTGTTCTAACCAGTGCTTGAAAAAGAGCTTTTCAATATGTAAGTCTGTAACCAACAGCATAAGTTCTTGCTAAGTCCAACTTCCTTCTTTGCTATTTATTATTGTCAGACTGGTAAGTATGACTAGGTAATATACAATAGCTGCGAGAGGCATGTCCCTGTCCCAGGCAGACTTCTCCTGCCCTATAAAGTCTAAAAGCACAAAACAGATCATGAGTAGGAGAAAGCAAATAATACCATCTCCATGTTAGAAAACTGAGGAAAAGAGCTAGGAAGTGAATTTCCCAGGATTTCACAGGAAGTCAGTGGCAAAACTGGATATTGAAACCCTCTCTCTTCAATACCCATCTGGTGCTTCAGCAAAAGGGCAGTGCATCTCTTCTAAGGACATTCCCTTTTATCCTCAGAGTGTTCTGGTAACAAGAGTCTTAGACTGAATGTATATACTGAGTGTATACAGCTTAAGGTCTTGTTGCACACCACGTTGTACATTTTCCTCTCTCTATTTCCAACCGTCTTGTAGCCACTTTTGGTCTGAGTTCAAATTAGCAGTGCTACCACCTCCATCCACAAAGTCAACTTCATGTACTTACAGTTCTGTTGGTGAAGTTACTGAAGTCTGTCACTAAGATTTGCTTGATCATGTCTGGTGAGGAGACCACCACAAACATCTGGCGACCAATGTAATACCTACAAAGAAAAAAGAGAGTCATTTTAGCAGATAGTGACAACAGAGAACCATCTCCTTCCCTAAAATACCTCTTTTTGCTTGAAAATACTTGCCATGAACAAATATCACAGTAAACATATTCCCTTTGGTAAAGCAGTATTTTTCCCCAGTCCTCTCAACTATTAAATTAAGATGCATGGTCCTGGAATTTGAAGGAAACAGCTTAAAATCTTTTACTGATTGATCAAAACTCAGCCAACATTTTAATGTAAAGGTTTGTACGCTCTATGCTCACTCTGAATGCAGTACAAAGTGATGTAGTATCACTAAACCAAACTGTAGAGGAGCAAAACATTAGAAACCAACAACCCAAATAATCATTGAAGACCTACAAAATAGATTTTCCTGCAGTTAGCCACACGATGGCAAAGCCCTGTCTACAATGAGCCTTTCCAGAAGTCCCCCCAGCATGACTGCAATAAAGGTACACTTTCACAGCTTCTACTAGCACTGGAACTGAGTACATCTCAGACTCCAGGACATAACCATGGACATAACCATCTAACAGATACCATCTGAACCTTACATTATACCAATAGGGAGGGGGAAAAAAAAAGAAGAATAAAAAGGGTTCACAAAGTGTCTAAGGGAATTAATAAAGCTTTAGAAGAACAATAAGTGATAGGGGTGTCTCTGCCTGCACACCTTCTATCTCCCTGCTCCCAGTTTAATCTGATCTTATGGAGCCATGATAGCATGGCCCACACCATGTCCTTGCATGTCTTCACACCATCATGGAAGCTGCAGAGGTACTGGGACCCAACCCAACACCACAACTCCTAGGAGTGCAGAGCTCCCTTCTCCAGCACCATTCCCCCCAAGGCCCACAGGTGCTTCATGCTTGGCTGCTCTGCCAGAGGAGGAAGAAGTACCACCAGGAAGTAGAGGAGTCCCTACCTTTGTTGACTGCTGGACCAGAAAGATTATTCAGGCGGTGCTGTCTTTCCTCCACAAGGAGAAAGGAAGAAGAGACTGGAGACAGGCACAGGAGGGCTAGGCAGCTCATGGCAGAACACAATAGCAATACCACAGATGCTACAAAACTGTGGTAATATCTGTGCCTAATCATTTTTGTACAATATAGCTTAGTATCAATATATTGCTTATCACCTGTCTACATTGCAGCAACTGAATAGACAAGCAAACCCTGGGTTGAATTAAATATAGTAACTAGAGGTTCCCATGGCAATGAAGCTGCAGCAGCTCGATTTCTCCAAGGGCAAACAAATCAGACAAATATCTGGATTCCAAAGCAAGGTTTCACAGACCACCCTGACGCCCCTACCACCAAAACTCATAACAAACAAATGGCAAAGAAGAACAAGAACACAGTTTTCTTCAGGAAGAAAGATATCATCTTTTCTTCTCTGGTGGGTTTCCAGAAGGAACTTTTATTTCCCTAATGCAGTCCACAGGCTCTACTTGAACCTTAGATATGGGTGGTGTGGTCTGTGAAGATAAACCTTTTTCAGTTTGTTCGACCACAGCAAAATAGCTGTCTGTTAATGGTCAAACTTTTATTCAGAACCCCAATAGGTGCATAAGAAAGAGCTGAGGCCTCATTTTAAAGAGGGTTTTGATCACAGACTTTAGCAAAAGAGGATAATGCCCGACATGCACCTTCTGTGTGTACTTTGTACAGTTTTTATGGCATCAAAGAGACAAAGTAAACTCTCAGGGCAAAGACCCAGCCACGAATACCGACCTCTTGTGTTCCTACTTTGCTTTTCTCTTCCTCCCTCCAAGTTTATCAAGTTCCTTGTCACATTTAATGGTTAGTGACTGATGGTCCTGTAACACACAGCTTTTTACAGGGACCAATTTCCTGACACCAGATTCCAAATCTGAATCAGAAGCTAATTATGTCTACCCAGATAGCCTAACTCTGACCAGCAAGAGGCACCATATGATACATCATGCAAAGCATGTATGTGTAAGAGAGACACAATTCTAATTTATTTCAAACCTGGGAAATTGCAGAGCTCCAGCTCCTGTCCAACAGAATAACAGGCCAGTACTCACAGCAGGAGTCTTTATGTCACAGCGCACTTTGTGCTTGAAAGCATTCAGGACTAAAAATTTGGGACAGGAGCATCTCCTACTCAAGCTGCTTTTATGAGAAAGTGACTCACTAGCCAAGCTTATGCAAACAAATCTATTCATCATCCTCCAACTCAGACCAGTCACCCGAACTCCCAGTTCTGCTTCCACAGCTAAGCTCTTTCTTTTTTGTTCACTCTCCTCTAACTTTCTAGCTATAGGCACCTGCTTTTCCTTTCGTTATCCAGTTATAAATTAGGGCAGAGAAGGAGAAGAAGGGGGAAAAAAATATCTTACAACTAATAAATTGAAAATTCCGGAAAAAAAATCTTAAATTGCTTTTTAAGCAAAGTTCTGCCCATTTTTAAGGAATGACTGCTGTAAAGCACACACCACCATCTCTTATTGTATCCCAAACAGCAAAGGCTTTCTTCCTGCCTTTTTTCCATTCTCCTGCTTTCTGTATATAATCTTTCTAACCTTTTCTAGGACACAAAAATAAGAGTGTGTGCATGGACATGCTTTGGAAGTCAAGATCCTGAGGCTAGAAGCATGACTTACATGATCTTCCCCTGAAGTTAAGGAAAAAGGACAGGTAGAACTAAGCATGAAACAAGATCATCTGAGCCATTTCATTTAGCCAACAGAGGTTCGAAACCTGCAAAGGCACCAGAAAGATGCTTACCTGATTTTAACACATTTAAAATCCTTTGCAGGATCAAGGCCTCAGTCACACTCCAGGAGCATATCTCCCAACTAGGCGTTTGGGGGTTTTTTCACTTTTTTTTCAAAATGGCAAGTAAAAGATAAAATCCTCCTGAACAATAATCTATTCTTCCCAAGTAAATAACATATTTCACCCCTGCCATGTAAATTCATTTTGATTCTGTATTACTACATGAGGATATCACCAGTCTCACATAGATTTATTATTGAGCAAAACCTGATATTCTTGTCAGATTTTAATAAATAAGAGTTTGAGAAAAACAAAAGCCTCTGGGCAAGAGCACTGCAAATGGATTCATGAATAATTTAGGACAGCACTTTTTATTAACTTTTCTTAGGTTAATCTTTTCACACGGCTCGTTCACACACAAAAGTCCTACCTTTAGCTACAGTGCCATTACATTGCTTGACCCAACACTTTGTACTACTTTCAGGTAGGGCATTCAGGGTATAATGCAAATGCTTGGGACTACCTAGCTCACTCCTGCAGAGAAGCAAGAACACACGCATGTAGTTTGGCATCCTCAGGGTGACACAACTCCGTCCACATCGAAACACTTGAGGAAACCCTTACTGCCATACCAGTAAAAATAAATTTCATCACCCATGCACGAAGGCAATCTTCCTGTGTAGATGAGATCTCAGTTATTTAAGTTATGCTGTTGGGGTAATTTCTATTATATTTCAGTTTAAACTGTAGCTGTGCAAAACAGAGAAAAAATTCCACCTTTTAGACCAGCAGCTTTAGCTCCATTGGAAGGTGAGACAGTAAAAACCTGGTACCAGTCTATCAACAGCACAAGGACAGAGTCAGCTTCCTCCAGCAAATGAAAGTGCAGATCAGGAACCATTGCCCCAGCAGGCTGTTGGGGCAGAAGCAGGAAGCCCTGTGTTGCACCATTCTCAGGAGGGCCAGGCAAAAATTTTTCACAAGTGTTCAACAGAAGGCATGGATGGATCTATTCCCAGAAGTTATGGAAAAGGTAAAGGTTACCAAAGGGCTCACGGGTCAAGGAGATGGCTAGGTTACAGGATATTGAACAAAATAAATTACTCTTCATCTGAAGTGTTTTAACAACTGAAGAGGCAATAAACACCCACTGCAGCAGTTTGGTTCGTAAGATCAGAGAAGCACCATTCTTAAGGCAATTAATGACAAGGACAGAGACAACTGCCTTGTGTTCAGGTTTCACCCAGGATGTTGTAGTTCTCTTTACAATGATTCAGTCATGTAAAAAATGCATCTCTTTTTTTTATCCACAAGAATAAAAAGCAATCCAGCAACTATGTCTGCTGTTTTGCTCATGCACCACCATTGCTCGCTGCAGAGATGTGGCCTAGGTGTCTGAAACCACACCTAATACCTGCCATGGCCACAGCAACATCTAAGCATGTCATCCTCCTTCCCAAGGTTCGCCAGGGACTCCCCCAGAATGTAGATTTCTTTTATCAGACAATGTAGCAGATCAATCAGCTACCAAACTAGCATTATCTTTTCTGCGCTCCCAAGATCATCCTGACCACACTGGATGGTCATCAGCTGCTGACAGCATCCCTCAGATCCTAAGCCACCAATGTGCTTGCAGCAATGTTGCCTTGTTGCACAGGAAAAGGTAAGAGCACATATAGTACCTTACAGCAAAGGGCCATATGTTTTTGTATAATACCCATGTGGGAAACACCTGCAACCCTTTCACCTTGTTTATAGTGCTGCTGCCAATTCACAGAAGACTTTGATCTCCCTATCTATTATCAGTCCCATATATTATAAACACATCATATTAATCATAAAACATACATATGCTGTTAGACAATAAACAAGGCTTTGTTTTCTATGCTGTGGTCTGGCAAAGTACACAAAGATCATCTGCAAAGCCATATGAAAATAGAATATTTTATTATCTCTATCTTCCTCAGAGAGGAGCAAAGAACAAAGAAAAAGGTGGGAGCGGGAAGGAGAGGTATGCAAAGATAAATAGATACGGGGAAAGGCTAATTTTCTTAGGAGATATTTCCTTTAAAGAAGTACCTCGATCACTCTGCCTCTTTTGTTTAGTGATACCCATTAATTGCAGGCAGAGAAACGTAAAAACAAATAGCACACAGCTTGTTTCAAATAGGACTGAAGCCTGGCATTACTTACTTAATTATTTCAGAGCAAACGGATTTGTCATGAGCACTGTCCCCTTTCAGC